AGAGAGAGAGAGAGAGAGAGAGAGAGAGAGAGAGAGAGAGAGAGAGAGAGAGAGAGAGAGAGAGAGAGAGAGAGAGAGAGAGAGAGAGAACTGAGAGAGAGAGGAGGCTCACCTTTGATCCATCTCTGCACAGCACTCCAACTGACTTGTCGGACAGCTCATAAGCAAGCCCTTGCTTGCTAAACTGGTCAATCCACCGGCTTAGTCGGACCTGCTCCCCCTCGGCGATCCTATCCGTGGTGGTCTCTCTTCCTACACTCCTCACTTCTGCTCTCTCTTCTTTCCCTTCTTCTTCTGCTGCCATTGCTGTCTCATCCGGTCCCGCAATTCTCTCCTGCCATCCCTCCTCCTTGGCAGTCGTCTGCACAGCAATCCTCTTGCTCCGTCGTCCACCAACGACGACTTTGAGTCCATCTCCAGACCCCGGCGACTCCTCCTCCCAAGAGGTCTGCCTCTGCACTGCGATCCTTCTTCTTCCTTTACCTCCCTGCTCTTCTGCCACTTCACTGCTGTCATGATTACATCTGGTTGGTGTAATGTGCACGGATCCATGGGCATCCGAAGGGGAGGGTGCCTGCTTCCCTGCACCTTGTTCAGATCCAGCTGTCTGCAGCTCATCGTGGCCGCTCACCAACACACTGCCACGTGTCGGTGACGGGGAGCTCTCTGCAGAATCCGCTGCACAGCTCAACAGTGCACTTTCATGCACTGCTACCACCCCCTCTTCTCCCAACGACTGCCCCGCTCCTCCCCATCTCCCATCTCCTCCCCTTCCCCTTGACGATGACGACTCTCCTTCTCCCAACAGCTTCCCCTCTCCCTTCGTCGCCTTAACCCCTGCATGCTCCGAGTGAACTGCTCTCGTCAATTTTGCTGGTGTCTCGTATTCATTGCCGTTACAATTGTCGCCATTACGGTTGTCGTCAACAACTTTCTCGTTCTCCTCGTCCCTTTTCGCCTCCAGCTGTGCCCGTTTCGTGTTCGTTGAGATCTGTGGATTTCAAAAAAATAAAATAAAAAAAATCCAGGGCCAAACAAACAAGTGTGTGATTAGCATGCTCCCTGAGGAGAAGAATTATGACACGCATAAATCGAGAAATGGTCCAAATTAAAAGGGAAAAAAAAAGACATAATAAATCATCTTCATAATAGTTCACATCAATCAATAAAGCCAATCAGTGTCAGGGAAAAAAAAAAAAAAAAAAAAAGCCAATCAGTGCTAGTTGAGGTAGCAAAACGATTTTCCATGCATCCACTTATCCATCCCATTCTTCGGGAACAGCGTGAATATGTTGCCTTTTTTTTCCTTTTCTTTTCCTTTTTTCGATAAATGGAAACAAATAAGGGCATCCTCACACTACTACCTTTTTTTTTTTTTTTTTTTTTACCGAGGCTGTGGACGTGATTGCAGTCAGATTCATCAACGTCTGATGGAAAATGCTGTCCGATGCATTTTAGAAAAAAGGGCTAGTGTGAGTATGCCCTAAGCTCAGCACGGCCGCTGCACGGCCATGAGGAGTGCGAAGTCCCACAAACCGACAAAATAATTGGTCCAAAACAAAAAAAAAAGGAAAAGAAAATAGTAAAAAATGCCCGTCTTCTGAAAGAGTGGACTTTCTTGGAGCTGTTCACCCTTCGGTAAATGCAGCTTTTCACCCTTCGGTAAATGCAGCTTCTTGGTGGTGTAGCCAAAGCACTAAGGCCTTCGCAAGTACTGCTGCGGCTCCACTGGCCTCGGCTATCTAAACCCTAAACCCTCGCTTGTAAGATTGAACTGCAAAAAACCCTCTCTCTCTCTCTCTCTCTCTCTCTCTCTCTCTCTCTCTCTCTCTCTCTCTCTCTCTCTCTCTCTCTCTCTCTCTCTCTCTCT